GGTGGCAGAGCACAGCTCCCCTAGCTCCGGTAACTGCTCACATGGAAAAACAGATTGACCGCAGCTAGCAGCCCAGCAGCTGGCAACAGCGAGCCAGGCCTGTACAAACCCAATGCTGCTCAAGCTGCGAGACTACACAAGACTGCTATTGGCAGTCACCCAGCTAGATGGGGGGGGGGGGCAGCACTTCCAAAGCCCCTAAAGCAGTGGCTCTCCAGCTTGCGAGACTCAAGGCAGCCCTTGGGAGTGGCAGCTCTTTGCTTTCACTCATTTCCTGACTGGAAACAGCAGAGCAGCTCTTCTGTTGCAAAGCACTGAAAGGGTGCATTTAACACTGGATTCCTATCCTAGGTTCATCTTGGGAGTCCTGTGTAGATCTTTCCATACTCAATAGTGCAGTAAATTATATAGCACCTCAGGGAGAATGACTCAAGTCTCAACAGACCCCCAGGGCTGACGACAGCGCCTCCCCACACCCCTGCGCAGTTAGGAACCACCACGGGACTAACAGACAAGCCCCCACACCGCACACGCACAGAGCCATGTCCTCAGCGGCGAGCCGGCATGACTCCACTCAGGATGCTCTCGCTGCTGTTACCCGGGGCCAGAGAAAAGCCATTTGTCCAAGGACCTTCTGCTGCATTTACCCTTGCTGTGCTACAGCAAGCTGGGTTGTGCGGTCCAGCCCCCCGCACTACTGGGATCGCATGCCTCGATGCCATGGGTCTGAGCCCACTGGCTAGCGAGGGTGTCGTTAGTCGTGAGGGTGGTGATGGAGCTCCTAGTAATGCAGCAGCAGGGCTACTCAAGTTCAGACTCCCAGACCCACAGTCCTGGCACTCTCCAGCAGCCCACCCTTTCCCCCGTGCTCTGCCTGCTGGAGCACACCCCTTCCCCGTGTTACAAGCCAGACCCATCAGAGCCACAGCCCAAGCCATTCGACGGGCAGCTGCCATCCAGCAGCTCAGGTCACAGTTTCTGCCCTGGGCAAGTGCCCTTAGCTACATGGCAGCTGGGGCAGCCATTGCCACACACAAGGACAGACCCGAGCACACTCCAGTGCAGGGGGTGCAGGTCACAGTTGCAGTGGGAGCATCAGCCCAAGAACACCCCCGGCATCCCCGCCAGCCTTGCTTT